GTTAAAATTGAATAACTCAGAAACTACTCATTCAAAATTTGATTTAAATATTTAAACAATTTACACTAAATGAGGTTAGTTCTCATTTGAAAAAAAAATCTAAGTATTTGAAAGTATGGTCCTTAATAATTATGCTGAAAAATTTCAAAAATCAGAATATGGAAAAATGGTGTTGAGCGCAACTTAACTGGTGAATCATAGTAAAATATATTATATAGGTTATACCATATTTTATTATAATCATGACATAAATATATCACATTATCACGACGATGATATTATAACGTTTCATTTTTGGCAATGCACGCGTGCAATAATATTATTCATATCTAACTGTTAACATTTTTATGTATACATAATACATAGCCTCATAGGTCATATATGATTTAGCGTAGTGGTTCGTAAAGATAGTTTTACAATAGTACACGTCGCATACCATTACATAGTTCACTAATAAAGTATTAGTCGTGATGGCTTCTTCGATCATGATAGCTAAAACCTCTATTATGTATAGGTAACACTGGCGACGAATAGATGTATACGACACGTATATTAATGGGTATTGTGGGTAGCTAAACTACTCAGCAGCGAAGACGTTTGCTCGCGTGCCTAAAGCTATATACTATTTAAGGTTGCATACGGTTTACACTATAGCCGTGTTCCTTGTTAGACGTGTTGAATCGAGAAATCGGATTAGCGAATTTACTTGTAACAAAATTTAGTTAACACGTTACCACAGTACCACACACAACAACCAATGTATGATCAATTACTAATGAATCATAAACCAAAATAACATCTAAATACATTTATGTACATCTAATTAATATACTGCGTAGTTATAAAGTTTCAAACCGACTAAAAAAAAAAATACACCATGGACCAAACGGTCTACAATATTAACATGGTGATAGTGTTATAGTGCCTTAACCCGTCTGGTAAATAAATTAAAATACTGCCATGGTAAGAATTTCATTTGCACGTTTACCGCATGACGAATCCGTTCGTCGGGATCCAGATGATTTAATTGTGAATCACTGGACTCACGCCAATGGTAGAGACTTATTTCGCGGTGTAATGAACTCTGACGATAAAAATACTGTAAAAATCAGTAGATAAACCTCAACGGCACACGAAGACTCTTCCTACCATAACCCGGCTGGTGGATAAATTAGAATACCGCGGTAAGAATTTCGGTTGCACGTTTTCCGCCCGATGAATCCGTTCATCGTCGGGGTCTAGGTGATTTGACATTTGTACGTCGTCGTTATTATTTTGACGAAGTGAATCAGTGGACTAGCGCCAATCGTGGGGACTGATTTTGCGGTGTATTGAATTCCGACGAGAAAAAATTCGATTACTATTTACTACGCACCTACATATTATTATAATATATTATAAATATACTCGCGTCTACCTACCTATATACAATGCACTATGATGTGCGGAGACGTCGGCGGAATTCCGCAGACGACGAACGGATTGCGACCGTTCGTGTATAGTTCAAGTACGTGCACACTTGCAGGGTTGCAGCTCGGCGTCGAACAAAATATTACGACGAAATAAAATGGAAAACGGGCGGAAAACGGAGGAGAGATAAAAAAAAGAAAGAGAGAGAGAGACGTAATCAAAGACTGCAGGACTGCGGGATATTTTCCGTCGGAATAATGGCGATCGACGTGCTTCCTCTCTCGTCGGTCAGCACACGCACAACGCATTATTGTCGACGACGTCCGGTATGCATTTTTTAGTATTATATTATGCACTTGACCTACGCCTATATATTACACCTATATAATACGCCGGCGATTGCGACGTGCCCGCCCGCCACCGCTGACAACGCTTCCTCGCAAATAATATTATCGTCGTATCGAGGACGACCGAACGAAGCACGGAAACACAAGGAGCGATACAGAGTCCAATGCACTATACCTTCACAGTCTAACCTACCTACTATTACTAATAATAATAATAATAAGTAATTGTCATTCGGAACACGAGCATTACGGGATCGCATGAGCCCATTGTGCGCCTCGACGCGTATATTATGTAGGCACACACTAACATACAGACAATCCAGCACGTACAAAAAGGAGCGTTCTCCCCTAAAGGTATAATATGCGATATAATATTATTATAATTATTATTATCATTATTATTATTATTATTATTATTATAACCTATGCTTGGTGGATGATCGATGGCCCCGCGGGTGGCTTATAATAATTGGGAGTCACGTGAATTGATGTTCGGTAATGGCCAGACGACCTAAATTGATCTCACAGAATGCGACACTCTGCCGTTCGTCAAATAAGCGTTAATAATTCAATCAGACTACCAGAGTGCCGAGCGGCTCGAGAAAGGTAGGTAAGTAATTAAACGCTATAACGATTATCGGGGAATTATGAAAATGAGAAAAAAACCAATACCGTGCCTCTACTCGAAACGAAATAACATTCCGATATAATAATAATATAACATTATAACACCTATGTATAGGTATACTATCAATAATTATAATAATAAGACACATCAAATAGTATGCGACGCAGAACTACTAGTTGATTCAATTTTATTATATGTAGGTATATAAGTATATTGTATATAACGCGTTATCAATCGAACCATATTTTGATCTTTAGTAAAAGTTTTCAAAACCGGGACGAATTCCAATTCGCAGTTTCCATAAAACAAATTATATTTTATTCCCACCGCAGTCACGTACACCTTTACAATGTTCATGTTTACAACTAATGTTATCAATTTATTTCATGTTCTTATTTTCTCTCCTATTATACTTCGTTCGAAACCGATTATTTTAATATTATGTAGTTCTAACTTCTAATACTACTATAAAGACCAGCGCCAAATAAACCAATAAACTCAATTATTATTGTTAGTTTGATTTTACATAATATAACTTTTGATGATAATTTATACCAATACAATTAACGGTTAGTATTTATTGTAACTCACACAATTTAATTGTCATAATTATTAAAATGTATGAGTACGTCGACGTCAATCAATATTATTTACAGTTATATCGAGACAAATAGAATACATTTATAATAATTAAATAATTATATTCCAAAAACGTGTCTTGAAATATTGAAATATATTATATTAATTTGTTATTAGTTATTACCAACAACAAACGGCAATTTATTATAGCAATATAACATATATATATATATATATTAGATATTATACTAGGTAGCTAGATTCGAGAACTTGCTTTGAGTTAGAATCTTATATTGATTATTATAATTGCATTATCCAATAATTTAAATTATTTCAATAGATTTATAAACCTTTGAGCGTATACTGATTAAAAAATTGCCATGTACATGCATAGTTAATATTAAGCAATTACGAAAGTACACCTATAAATAATCTTTACGTAGGTACCATAGAAAATTGCACTTTTAGAGTAAGGTTAATGTTAATTTAATTACAATTTGTATAATATATGAAAATACATTATACATACGACATGCCTCCTACACCTAAGTTGTCTTTTATAGTTTTATGTATTTTTAAATGCAAAACGTCAAGAAAATAAAATTTGTTTTAAAAGTTATAAGTTTATAACATAATATATGTGGCAGTGTGGGTAGTGAGGTTTTCATAAATATAAAAGATGTTTACTTACAAACAATATTAGTCCATCAAGGTCAGCTAATTTAGTATAAGTGTATGTTTTTGAGATTAGTTTATACAATTGCATTTCTACTCATATTCTAACTTCTAACATGAATGGAACATACCATAATATATTTTTATTTTTATTACTATAATGATTTTTAGAATCAATGAGCACTATTCAAAATATCGATTAATTTTTCTTCAAAGTTCATTAGTTTTCCTCTCACCATTGTAATAGATAAAATGTATTTATCGAGATACTTATTAAAGTCTTTTAAACATCTATTAATTGGTCATTATTTTTGTTTCGAAACAATTTCAAATTTATTACTAATAAAACGGCATTAATTCTTAACTACTATTGGGCTATTTTCATGAATATTATAAAATCATTTAATTGAAATTAATCTTTAAAATCTAATTATTGCGATCATTTATTTATTTAAATATAACTAATGTGATGTCAAATTATAATTCATTAGCTAATTACCTACCAGCATAATATTTTTTACCGTGGGTAATTAACATCGACATTTAAATGCTACGAATTTTACCTATTGAATTTAGTGAGAATTAAAAAAAATATTGACTCTATACGTGTTAAAATAATGAGGTTTCAAACAATAATTTATAAAGAAAGAGCATTTCGGGCTGATTGCGATTTTTGTATAAGATAAATAAGAAAAATCTAAAATAAAATGAAAACTATCTAATTAAATTTAATCAATAAAAAGTAATCGTCCTTTAACTGACGAAGAAACCAAGAATATAAAAAAAGTAAGATGCTGGATTATTCGGAACGTCTTTAAATTTAAAAACAAACAAAAATCCTCCCAGATTCTAAGAACCTTAAACCATTGTTTATACGTACACCACAAAAAATGTATGGATTGGCAGAAATAATTGAAATTATTATTTTTAAAATGCCAATGATAATTATTAATTTATGACAACAAAAAATACTGTACACAGTGTTCGTGACCGCGCATTAAAATCTTTAATACCTATATACGTATGAACCTGCTCTAGAATCGAGTTTTTCGTAATCGTGAGACGTAAACGAATAATTTCATTAATTTTATTTTACATTATTAATTTTCAGAACTCTCGATAGTACGTTACCACTGGTTAGCAGGGATAGGTTTACCTAAATAATAGAGCTTCAATTGAGTATACCAAAGAACAAAGTTATATTAAAAGTAACATTTTTCAGACTGCAGTGAGGTATTTCATTTCAAAAAAGATTTAGAATATCATTATTTTATTCGTGAAAAATAATCTTTTCGGTTAATATAGCAATATAGCATTCCTCGCAACGTAAAAATAAAAATAATCTTTTTGTTCAGACTCACCTGTTGAATATGATATATTGTCACCTGCGGCTCTCGACGACTCGAATGGTATGCATCACACACTCACTATATTATCGTATTACACATTAAACTTAACTAACGGAACGAAAATAAGCAATAAATAACACTCAAGAGAGAAACATTCAATAAACAAAATCGGTAATCACAAAAAAATATGTTCGACTGTATTCTCAAACGAACGCACTCGCGTAAGTATTGGCCGTAAGAATCGCCTTATGCCTGACTGGGCAGTGTTATTGTTTTGGATCTGGTGTAGCGTGGCAGTATCACGTTGATAGCTGCTGCTGCTCACCATACCTGTTTGATCCTACCTACCTGTCCGACCGGAGTGAGATCGTTTCACGTACTCACCACAGTGCAGCCAACGGAATTGCCTCGGATGGGAGAGGCAGACAATATTATAATACAATAACATCGTAAAAATATGAAATTTGATCATAACATTTTTTTTTCATTTAACATTGAAAATAATATTTTATAGGCTATTTATGATAATCATACTTTTATTTTATTACCTAGGTACCATAGTATCGTTTATAATTTGAATCACTTTTTTTTCTTTTTCTTAAGAATTAAAAATATTTATCCAGGTATTTTAATTGTCGTAGGTAGGTAACTTATAACGTTATACTTATATGTAGTAGCTTATATCGGTTGTCAGTAAATAATTCATCAATTACAAGTAAAACGAAAGTTTTAATATTAAATTTTTTTTTAACTTGCCTATAAATATTATATCAGATGAATAAATATTGTATCTTGACTCAGGTTAAATCCAACTACATTGGCTATAACTTCAAAAACAATATTCTTTTATAACAATTTAAATAAAATTGAAAATTCATAATTATAAATAAAACACGTACAATTATAAATTATTTTATATTTGCAGATATAATATGTTTTCATTTATTTTCCCCGTTGTATTTTAAACTACAATAAATTGTACTATGATACTTTAGAAAATCGAAGACCACATTCTTCATTCTTAAAAGATAAGACTATAAAATACTTTAAAAGCTTAAACAATAATATTTGATTTAACTTTCAGTAATAATTTAAAAAGTAATAACAAGGCTTTAATGAAACTTGTCTAAGTGCATAGGTTTGTATATTAAAAAGTTATGATTTAAAATGTATTAAGCTAACAAACTTTTCTTTTTCTTAGGTAGGTACCTATTATAATGTATATATCTTAAAATATATTTGCTTATAAAAATAATGACCAAGTCGACAATCAATATAATTAATAATTATTTCGGTTAATATTTTGTATACATTTAGTTATAATATATTATAATTTTTAATAAAATACATACACATAAACATAATATAATATATATTAATATGTTGTAACAACTAAATACATAAATAGTTTTAATATTATTATGATGCAAGGAACTTTCAAATTTTTTCTAACATTTTTCTTATGACCGGATTCCATCTATTTTCACATTATATTGTTGCTGTATTTTTTTGACATAATTCCAATTGAACGTCCTAAATTATAACTGCCAAGAATAATACAATTTCAGTTATGAAAAAAAATATAAAGGTTTTGAAATAGGTACAACTTAAGTTTTTGGTTTTCAAAGAAAACGTTTTGTAAAATAATTTACGTTATTTTGATGACCTGAATCCGCATCAACAACATAGACACGTCATAGTACTATTGGATAATATAACAATTTGATAACACAGTGATTATAATGGGTACTTTCGTTGAAGTCTCCGTAATAATTTATTGAAATATTCATAATAATATTATTACGGTCTAGAATTTATTCATTGGAACAGCTCATTCGTGCAATATTTGTACATCGCGTGATATTAATTTAAATAATGACTATACGAAAGATTATATAATGAAATTAAATAGTGCAAAAATAATTATTTCCAAATACACGTTTCCAACCTGGTATTAAATATTAATACAATAGTAATACATAATCTAATAACTTTACAGTACTTACCTGCTGTGCAAATTTAAAATATTTTTTTTTAACTTGCTAGTAAATAATATCATAGATAGATAAATATTATTTTTTGACTTAGGTTATTTTCAAATAAACTTAATTTAACTTTGAAAATTTATCATTTTATAATAATTTTTTAAAAAATTTAAACTCACGATATCATGAAATGGAAATATATTAGGAAAAAGATATTATGTTTCATGTTTGTATTTAAAATCCTTTCATTTATTGGCCATTCCTAAACAATGATGAATAGAGTTCTCGTGTTATTTACACATACGCGTATTATATTATACCCTTCGGCCTTCGTCAACATATTGTGGGGTATTTCAAAATAATGATAATATAACTATCTGGTATAATACAACCTTTTAGCAATAAGCTATCATTTGTTGGTGTATGAAATTCTTCTGGGACGTACTTACAACAGTTAATTTCAATACCCAATTATTTGTGTACCTAATAATGACAGAACAGAAACTTTTCCCATCTGATTTACATAAAATAAATTTTAATCGTCAATTTGGTTTATTTAAATAACAAGTTATAATGTTATATCAATTTATTGAAAATAACATCAAAACAAATCATAAACTATAATTATAATGAATAATGCTATATAACACCCGAAAATCTGCAATATACGGTATAATTAGTATAATGTATAAGTATATAACATTATACGCACTATTACACTATATCTAATGTACTCTATTTAATTTTTTAATTTTTATATAATATAGTTAGCTATAATTATTGCTATCTCGGGTTTTTAAAAAACAAAAACAATTTTTTTAAATTTTTATATTTGTAGTAATTCTAATTTGTGACTTCGTTTTCGCTTTTAGGAAAATTATACAAATAATATCAAAATATATCAACAATTTTAATTCGAAAAGGTTTGTCTACAAAGACATACGGTACGGCACGACTTTTATTATTTTGTATTTCTGGTTTGGCCAACGCTATATTTAATTTAAATATAAAGTTAAATTATTATTTACTATCATATATTATTATGTTAAACTAGTACAATAATAAAACGTATCGGCTATCCCAAGGATATTTAGCACCCGGGGTTATATTGTTATTTTTTTTTTTTTTTTAAGTTTTCCTAAATATGGAAATGTAAACGTCGTATTACAATATTTAGATTTTATTTTGACATTTTAACAATAGATAATAAAATTATTTACAAAAATTTACAAATATTTATGATGAAGAATTATATTATATGCGAATACCTATTTTCATATATTTATAATTTTAACTATTGTAATAAGTCTATAGTAATCTTTTTTTAGTTATTGGTTTGTTACTAGTTAATGTTGGACTTTTACAAATATATTATTGTGCTGTAGCCTAAGATTAATTAATGAATACCCAAAGCTATAATATTATATATATTACCTAGTATTTTATGAAATTCCCTACCCAGTACCCACAAACACTTAAGTATAACTTAATAGGCTATCTAAATAAATTGAACTCATTATTATTTTAAATGTTAATAGTACCTAACTATTGACATCTAAAATCATCAATCATAACTATATTTTTTATTTTTAATGATGTCCACCTACAATTGTTTTATTCATTACAAGCAAAAAAAGTCAAATATTCAGATGTTGTCAAAGTAAAATTATTGATGGTTCTTAAGTTGAGTCTTAAGCTTATTAGATTGAGTTTGTCAAAAATATTAAAAAAAAAATGTGGTTGACAGAGCGGACTAAGGCTTCTGTTGCGGCGCGAACCGGCGCCGGTTCGAACCCGGATATGGGTGGCATTTTTCTTCGGGCAGTCACAGTGTCCAGAGAGAGAAGCCGCCATCTCCCACCCGAGCATGGCAGATAACTACGGGTGCCCACTAAAAAATTCTTCCAAAACAAACACACACGTGTTAAAAACATACAATACTCTCCCCTCACAGTTCCACGGGCTAAAGACCTCAGTTTTTGAAGCCTCAACCCCAAAATAAAAAAAAAAATGTATAAAAATGATCAATGATAATATTTATAAGCCAATATGTATACATAATAAAAATATGTTTTATACAATTTCACAATACTAAAACATTTCCTAATACCACAAATTTGTATTGTTTTTTTGGCTTGAAAGTTAGCGAGTAAAGACTTAATATTCTCTTGTTCAAGGTGTAAGAGTAATTATTGGTTTGTATCATCTCTATAAATATTAAACTATAATAGTATTATCCAACGTTTTATTAGACAGTGTTTAGGAAAATAAGAAATGTATTAATAATAAAATAATGTATATTTTAATATAAATTAATTTTCTTAAACTATTGTTCATATTATTATATTGTATCGAGAAATAAATATAATAAATAATGATATAATATGAATATAATAAAACCATTAAAATAAAAAATATATGAAGATTCAGAATGTAATGTAAATTGTATAACAAAATATTTCAAAATCCAAAAAGTTTCTTTAGTTTGTAAGGAAATCACGATCTATATAAAAGTAAAAATTTAATACTAAGACCAATAATATTTATTTTATTTAAATTAGTTTAAAGCTTTGTGGCTTTTATATAAAAGCTTTGCTTAAAATCTTTTTTTAGGATTTGAATAATAAACACCATTAAATAAAAACAAAAAAAAAACACCCCAGTTCTAATAAAACCCAATTAAGTGACGGCATTGAATATATGTACTGATTTCATAGCATAAAGGTTTTGAAAAAATTATATTTATGTAACACTTTATTTTTCCAACTGTATACGTATACAAAATAATCTGAACAAAATATAAGTATATTTTGTTTTTATTAAATAAAGCAGTAAATCCTATCTTTATCAAGTTTCAACAGTGATCTATTGTCAATTTAAACATTATTGGTTATACATTTATTATAATTCATATATTATGTTAAGATGAAAATGTTTACTTGTTTAGTGAAAAAAAATATAATTACTGTAGAATGCATTACAATATTCTCAAACCAAATTCTAATAACCCAATTGACAAAATAATTAGTAGAACATTTATTTATATTATAATAAAATTGTGTGTTGTAATATTTTTGAATGAAGATATTACTGTACCTATGTTACTTACATATGTATATATTACTCTATGTTGTTTATGTTAATTATCTTAGTAAAAAATCATGAACATTCTCATTGTTTTGAATTTTGGTGTTGCCTAATCTAAAACTATCAAAAAATAAAATAAAAAATATCCTTCATATTTTTCTCCATATTACCTATTATACTTTCTTGTTGTTCATATAATTAACTACCTTTTGACACGTATATTGTTTACTTTTCACTGTTTTTAAAGAAACTAGGTGATTAGAATTCGAGTTTGACTAATATTATTAACACAATATTTTACTTGGTTATTTATTTTTATGGTTGAATTATTCACATAGTTATCATAGTATCCATCGTTATCCTATCTTAGTATCTT